GGAGGCTGAAAATGAGGAAGACGTACATCCCCAGGCAGGTGTAGGAGACCAGGGAAAAGATGTGAGGCTCTTCTGACACCAGGGCCAGCAGGGAGAAGAAGCTGGAATGGGCCAGGAGGAGGAAAAGCCACACAGCCGCCTTCCAGCTGGTGAAACACTGGGAGCCATGACAGAAGTGGGCAGAGGATGTCTGCAGGTTGGACACTGCCCTCTTCCAGATGTACCTCGAACCGATTGACATGAGGCAGTTGATGAAGAGCAGGAACTGCACCCGGAACAGCTGCAACAGGGTCGTCTGGTCGAAGTAGTCGCCGAAACTCCGGGAAATAACCATGGAGCAAAGCACAACGGCAGCCGCCAGGGACACCCGGACCTCCCAAGGCAACCTGCCCAGGGACAGCATCTTCCAACAACAACCCCGCCAGGCCTCCTCTTCACAATCTCTGCTGCTGCTCTTCTCGTTGTTGTTGTTGTTATTATGATTTTCACCCCCACCCCTTCAATCACTCCTGGCGATTAGTGCAACAGCATCAATCCACCGGCAACTTCCTCACTTGCGCGCCGGGCCCTGCATTTCTGCAGCGCCCGTCACGTCCTCGGCTCCCCGGCAGCAGACGGAGGCGGAGTGAGAGCCCTGGGTTCCGTTGGAACGCGGACCCGGGGATTCCGGGTTCGAAAGCCTGGCGCGCGCTCCCTGTAAGCTGCAATGCCATAGCAACCCATTGGCGCGAGCAATACTGCAAATGATAACTCATGTCAGCTTCGCATAAAAAATGCAATTACTCAATTCGGCAGTTAGCGTCTGATTTTCTTCATAAGGACTGAAAAAACCCTTTCTCCTGTAAGTCAGGATGGCCGAGCGGTCTAAGGCGCTGCGTTCAGGTCGCAGTCTCCTCTGGAGGCGTGGGTTCGAATCCCACTCCTGACAGCCTATTTTTTTAAAAATTTGTAGTGTACAGACCTTTTAAATAAAAGCTTCTAATATGCTTGCGATGTAAGGGATATAATTTCTGCTCTTAGAAAACAATTTTTTACACATTGCGACAATCCTTACTATTCAATTATATTTTCTGTCTGCGTATCTATATTGCACGGCAAAAGGCGCTGTTCACATCTGTATCAGTTCTTTTGAAAGAGAAACGCAATTATTTCAACTCCCTTTTAAAGTATTAAGTAGTTATTCCTTTGTCTTCTGAAAGTTACAAGTGAACCTAATTCTATCACCCTTCATTCAGTAAAATGTTTCTTTGTAACAATCCCAACAAGGGGTAATTCGGGACACAGTTTTAGGGAAGTAACTGGGCAAGTGGAAGGTGTATCGATGGTATAGTGATTGTGATCATAATTCAGTTACGGAAAAGAAGATGGATCATGTGTGGAAGTCGTACACTTGTGAAAAGTTAACTTTGCTAAGCTGAAATATGATTGGCAAAAATGACCTGAAAATTGCTACCTTACGGTAAATCAGTGTGGTAGCAGTAGGAGGCATTCAAGAGTAAGGGAAAGCTTTCAGGTTCAGAGACATGTTGACAGAAGGAGAGAATACAACACCTAAACACTCCTCCCCAGAACACATGTAAATACAGGCCTGTTAAACTTCGAAGGCAGACAATTAATTGAAAAAAAAATTTAGAGACTAAAAAACATCATTTACAAAGGCATGGAATAATCAAGGACAATTAACATGGATTTATTAGAAGATCCAAGGGAAATTGACAAGTTGAATTCACAGTTGTTTCAGTGATAGGAAATAGGATATGGTTAATTCTTGTTTGTGACTGCCAGGTTGTTTCCAGTGGATTTTCATAGGGTTCAGTATGACCTTGTTCTTCATGGTATTTATCAATGATTTAGACTAAAGGGAAGACAATTAAGTAGTTTGAGGATAATACAAAAATTGGCAACATGATTGAGACTGAGAAAGAAAGATGTAGATACCAGAAAGATATCCATGGACTGGTCCGGTTGGCCTATAAGTGCCAGTTGACATTCAATCCAGAAAAGTGAGAGTTAATGAATTTGTGGAGGACAAACAAGGCAAGTGTTTATAATAAAATAATAGGATTCTGAGAGTTGTAGAAGAACAGAGGGACTTTGGATTACATGTCCATCGATAGTGAAGGTAGTAGGACATGGTGATTAAGAAGGCATATGGGATTCCTTCATTTACCAAGTCATGATTCCATATATGATTTTACAAGAACATAGGAAATAGGAGCAGGAGAATAACCCATGGCTTATTGAGCCTGATGCACCATTCATTATGATCATGGCCAATCTTAGGCTTCAGCTCCATTTCACTGCCCATTTCCCATACTGCTCGATTTCCTGAGCAACAAAAAAAATCTCTCAGCCTTAAAAAAACACAACCTTCTCGGACAGAATTCCAAATTCCAAGACAATTTGAATGAAGAAATTTCTTCTCATCTCAGTTCTAACTGAACAGTTCCTAATCCTGAAGCTGTATCCCCTTGTTCTAGATTCCCCAGTCAAGGGGAGGAACAAATGACGACCTTATCAAGTCACCGGTTCATCCATTTTATTGCAGATGCTCCTCACATTCAGGTAAACTCTCTGTCCAAATCAGTTTGTCTTTATACCGCATTGATATACTTTTACATTGCCTCAACTTCAATTTTGGATTTTTAAATTTTCCCTCATGTGAACACTCCTCCCCCTCTGACCATATTTGCTGATGCAGTCTTACTTTTATATATCATGTCTCATACACCGGTTATTGTTACCCTGCCATATACTAGTGGGGGAGAGGAACTAGGTGAGTTGGTCTTGCAGGGATCCTGCATTGACGCAAGAGGCTGAATTTTCCCTTTCATTTATGATTCAATGGTAGTGCTTTGTCTACCTGGATCAAATATCTCTTTGTACTGTTCTAGGCGTTTAATTTCAGATCCACCTTTTGTTTTGGTCCATGCTGTTCTACAACACAGCACAATTAAAAGTTTGAGATAACAAGGTGTAGAGCTGGATGAGCACAGCAGGCCAAGCAGCATCAGAGGAGCAGGAAAGCTGACGTTTCGGGTCTAGACCCTTCTTCAGAAATGGGGGAGGGCAAGGGGTTTCTGAAATAAATAGGGAGAGAGGGGGAGGCGGATAGAAGATGGATAAAGGAGAAGATAGGTGGAGAGGAGACAGACAGGTCAAAGAGGTGGGGATGGAGCCAGTAAAGGTGAGTGTAGGTGGGGAGTTAGGAAGGGGATAGGTCATTCCAGGGAGGATGGACAGGTCAAGGAGGCGGGATGAGGCTGGTAGGTAGGAGATGGGTGTGGGGCTTGAGGTGGGAGGAGTGGATAGGTGGGAGGAAAGACAGGTTAGGGAGGCGGGGACGAGCTGGGCTGGTTTTGGGATGCGGTTGGTGGAGGGGAGATTTTGAAGCTTGTGAAGTCCACATTGATACCATTGGGCTGCAGGGTTCCCAAGCGAAATATGAGGTGCTGTTCCTGCAACCTTCAGGTGGCATCTTTGTGCCACTGCAGGAGGCCCAGGATGGACATGTCGTCCAAGGAGTGGGAGGGGGAGTTGAAATGGTTCACAACTGGGAGGTGCAGTCGTTTGTCACGAACCGAGCATAGGTGTTCCACAAAGCAGTCCCCAAACCTCTGCTTGGTTTCCCCGATGTAGAGGAGGCCACATCGGGAACAGCGGATACAGTATACCACATTAGCAGATGTGCAGGTGAACATCTGTTGGATGTGGGAGGTCTTCTTGGGGCCTGGAATGGGGGTGAGGGGGGAGGTGCAGGGGCAGGTGTAGCACTTCCTGCGGTTGCAGGGAAACTTGCCGTGGGTGGTGGGGCTGGTGGGGAGTGTGGAGCGGACGAGGGAGTCACTGAGAGAGTGGTCCCTCCGGAAAGCAGATAAGGGAGGGGAGGGAAAAATGTCTTTGGAAGTGGGGTCAGATTGCAGATGGCGGAAGTGTCCGAGGATGATGCGTTGGATTCAGAGCTTGGTGGGGTGGTACGTGAGGACGAGGGGGATTCTGTTTTGGTTGTTATTGCTGGGAGGGGCTGTGAGGGATATGCGAGAGACACGGTCGAGGGCATTTTTGGCCACTGTGGTCCATTCCCGCCTCTTTGACCTGTCTGTCTCCTCTCCACCTATCTTCTCCTTTATCCATCTTCTATCCGCCTCCCCCTCCCTATTTATTTCAGAATCCCCTTCCCCTCCCCCATTTCTGAAGAAAGGTCTAGACTGAAACCTCAGCTTTCTTGCTCCTCTGATGCTGCCTGGCCTGCTGTGTTCTACACCTTGTTATCTCAGATTCTCCAGTGTCGGCAGTTCCCACTATCTCTCATAATTAAAAGTTTTTTTGATTTGGTCTATTGCTGCCAGAGATTGCATTACTTTCGGTGCTTAACATCTGGGATGATGTTCAAAGGTGACATAAAAACCAAATGAACTGCGGATGCTGAGGAGTTCTAAGGAAGGGTCATCGGACCCGAAACGTTAACTCTGTTTTTTCCTTCACAGATGCTGCTAGACCTGCTGAGCTTTTCCAGCAACTTTGTTTTTTGTTCAAAGGTAACGTGTTGGAAGTGATTTCATTGCCATCTCTGCGCCATAGGAGATAATAATTATACAGAAACTATGAATAATGGGAGCAGGCCATTTGGATTGCGGCTGAACATCTATCAGCCCATGCCTCTCGATGCTTTGACCTAAATAAATCTAGCTCTTTCGGGAGTATATTCAATGACTTGGCCTCAACAGCGATTTGTGGTAGAGAATTGCACTACCCTTTTGAGTGACTTTTTTCATCTCATCCCATTAAAACGAGAAACTGGAGGATGGGGAAAACAACATCGCTGAAGAGTCACTGTTTAATTTGGCAGAGGGAAATCAGTGCATCCGATTTTAACGGTGCGGCCGCATTAGGATAGGAGAGGGGTAAGGAAAAACACGGGGTAGTGTCAGGAGTGGGATTCGAACCCACGCCTCCAGGGGAGACTGCGACCTGAACGCAGCGCCTTAGACCGCTCGGCCATCCTGACTATGAATGCACAAGCGAGTGGCGGTTGGACAGATTGGTGCAGCGGGAGAGTGGCTCTGATCACTCGATAGGGATGAGCAGCAGGCGGCGATGTTTATGTGTAAAGGGCAGACGGTGTTTATGTCGGCCTCGCGGTGTTTTTGTTGTTATCTGGGAAGCGGCTGCGGGTGAACTCCGACATGGCGGCGGCGGCTGGCCGCAAACAGAGCCGGGAGGAGCTGGCCGAGCTGGTGGCTCTGGCCTTGCGCTGCGGTCTGAGTGAAAGCGACATCGCGGGGCTGCCGTCGGTGCAGAAGCTGCTGGGCCGCTCCGGCTCCGGCTCCCGGCGCGGCCTGCAGGTCTCGGCCGCTCTCCTGCTCCTGGTCCTCCTCCTGGGAGGCCCCCTCCTCCAGCCCGGCCTCCGCCTCTGGTTCTGGCTCCGCGGCCTACCTCCCCACACGCAGATGTGCGCCCTGGGCCTGGGCGAGCTGCACAACCCGTTCCGCCGGCCCCTGGACTGCCGTGTCTGCCGCAACATCACCGGCGTCGACCGGAGGAGTAACCTGAGCCACGAGGAGTTCCTGCGGGCCTACGCCTACTCCATGCAGCCGGTGGTGGTGGAGGACGGCCAGAGGAACTGGTCGGCCAGGGAGGTCTTCAGCTTCGAGTTCTTCACGCGGATCTACGACAACGAGAGCCGGGCCCTGGACAGCAGCGCCAGCGAGTGCCAGTTCTTCCCCTACGACACCGAGTTCGTGAACCTCGGCGATGTGTTCAGTATGGAGGCCGGCCGGGCCGCCGGCATGGACAGCAATGCCAAGCCGTGGTACATCGGATGGTGTGTGGTACAGTTTCAGTGTTCTTGCACAGTTCAGGGATACACACACACACAAACATAAACATAAACAGGAACACACACAAACATACACATAAACAGGAACACACACAAACATACACATAAATACGAACACAGACACATAAGCACGAACACACATACACAGACACATAAACATGGACACACACATACATGAACACACACAGATACATAAACACGAACATACACACAGACACGTAAACACGAACGAACACACACAGACACGTAAACACGAACACAGACACGTAAACACGAACACAGACAC